TTGCTGTCATTGTTCATTTTAGTCAAACCATACAGTTTGAAAACGAGGCGCGGCTCCAACTAGAAAACAATGTTTTGATGCATTGGATGTGCTGAATGTGCATATTAAGGCAGTACAGGAGGAGGTGCACATTAATAATCCTCCAGGACTGTAACATGCTCATGTTTAACCCAAACAATGTGTCATGTCACTGCAGTTGGTTCAGATCGAAGTCGGAACACGTTCTCACCACAAACCAACCGCACCAGAGTTTGTTTATAACCAGACCGAGACCACCTTTTCAAGAAGGTCTCAGTCCGGTTGTTTTGGTGCACACCTGAGTGTGATTGCTGTGTTCACACCTGCCCAAATGAACCGCACTTTGAGGGCAAACTTGAGCTTGATTGAACCGAACCAAACAGGGCAGGTGTGAAAGCACCCTTAAACTGACTGGGGGTTGTGCAGACTGCCACTGACTATGGATAAGTACCTCATTCAAACCCACTACAGAAAGTCTGAACTATCCCTTTAAGAGCTGCATTAGCGTGTTATGAAAACAAATTGTGTGTTAATGGTCCTAATTATAGGTAAAGCACGGACCATGACGATGATTGACCTATTTGCGTTTGTCCTTAGCATGACTCTCCTCTGTTTCCCCAAAGCACTGGCAAACAGTTACTGCATATGAGAAATAACTGTGAACTGCTACAGTTAATTTATGGAGGTATTTTTTACCACTTGCACATTTTTTCTTTCTAAATTTAGCCAGTAATTTGTAAGTGTTACGATATTGACACGCTACTGGAAATAAGTAATTACAGTTTAGTAAATACAATTTGGTGAAGTCCCATTTATCTTCCTTACCCTCACCAATAATATCTGATTTGTTTCTAAATGTTTGTCGTGAGTGTTTAGACATGTGTTAAGTAGGTCACACTGTCTTTTTTGCCTCTAATTGAAGCTAGATTTTTAAAGGCTGAGAGCGATGACACTTTTTCTTATTTTCACACTTCTGGCAGTAATATTCAGCCTTATTTTAGGAACTTGATACTTATCTATATACCTCCTGGACAGTCACATCTATCACCTCATCTTACCTCACTGCACAAGAAAAAATTCTGGGTACATTTGTGGTCATTTAAATTCCGGCAGCTATTTTTCTGTAAAGAACTCTGCCCTCCTTTTTTTCCACTCTTTTCCTGATGTGATTCAGAAAAAAAGCCATTTTCAAATAGAGCTGAAATTACTGTTAATCATATTGAGATTGCTCTCTGATTATGATGATGATGTGCCACTCAACATTCAGGTATAGTCACCGGCCATATCCCTCTCCCCATCACCTCTCCCGTCTCCCTCTGCATGACAGCATGAATAAATACACTGCAAGTTTCAAGCATATAGCGATTGACATGTCCTCTGCTTTCTCCAACACCACCACCTTCTCCCTTCCTCTCTCCTTCTGTCTCCCTGTCTGTCTCTCCGCTCTCCCTCTTTTTCTCTAGCTGAATGCGGCTCATCCGTGACTGGCATGCAAGGGGTGCTGCTCTCACCCAACTACCCCGGTTACTACGGCAACAACCACGAGTGCATCTACTCCATCCAGACGCAGCCTGGCAAAGGCATCCAGCTACGAGCACGAGACTTCAGACTGGAGGAGGATGACATACTCAAAGTGAGGGGGCTGAAGGGATTGTACCCTCCCTGTGTGTGTGTGTGTGTGTTTGTGTGTATGCAGCCTTCTTAGCATATCTGTGTGTGCAGACTTGAATTCAGATGCTTCCTCCCACTCTCCTTCTAACCCTTCCAGGTCTTTGATGGCAGCAGTAATAAGGCTCGTCTGCTGGGGGTGTTTACCGGGAGCGAGCTGCTAGAGACAACCCTGAACTCCACCTCCAGCTCCATGTGGCTGGAGTTCATCAGCAATTCAGATAACACCAGTAAAGGCTTTGAACTGCACTTCATTAGTGAGTAACACATAAACACCCACCCTTCTTTACAATTTATATTTACATTTTAATAAAGTGTGTTTGCGTATATCTGTCCAATCCTTCTTGTTGCCTCTGCCACATAAAAATCACATTTATGCTTTCTTCAATAGTTTCCTAATCTGTGCACTGTCTGTCCATGCCTTTCCTTCTCTCTCTCCAAGGTTTCGAGCTGGTGAAATGTGAGGATCCAGGTGTTCCCCAGTTTGGCTACAAGCGGGAGGACAAAGGTCATTTTGCAGGGAGCACTGTGTCTTACAGCTGTGACCCTGGCTATACACTGAAAGGCCCCGAGGTGCTTACCTGCCTGAGGGGGGAAAGGAGGGCATGGGACAGCCCCCTCCCACTCTGCGTTGGTAAGTCAGATGCTTCTTGAAGGGGTTAGAGATCAACTGTGTCCATGCTGTTTGCAGAAATATTAGTTTATTTGCCAATATAATATTTGGGCCTGCTAAGGGGTGGGCAATGCATCAAACATATCCGATATACTCTTCTATGTTTTATGTGCAATACAGCAGATGACCATATCATCATAGCCAGATTATAACTCAAATTATATATATTTGTTCATGCATCAAAAGCAGGCCGTGTTTGCTCTCCCTCTCACACAGACACCTCACACTGATCAACCATGCCCACCAGTTTAACACCAGTTACTGAGTTCATGTAAGTTCAAAATGATGGAAGATCTGAGAGCAGGTCTGTAATCTGGACGTGGTTTGGTTTCAGGAGTGCAGATGTGCAAAATATGCCACAAAACGATTGCTGCCAAAGGTAGCAGTACTGAGTTCTGTTCCAACGCTATAAGAGATACTTGGCCGATTTTCAACCAGGTCTGTGTCACCACAGTGTTGGGAATGTGTGCAGATGGACGGTGTGTGACTTTGCCCCATGCCAGCCGCATCAGAAACACCTTGCCGTAAGCAAACATCCACCGGATGATGCGAAACACATCATTTTGCTTCATCGAAAGAAATTTGGGCTGATGGGGAGTTTTGGAAGCTGTTTCAAATATTGCGGCATAGCCTACAGTATATATATCATGATATTATTTATTAGCCATATTCCCAGCCCTAGTTCTGCTGATTGGGTGTTGGGTTTTGTAGTATTCCCTTTTTTACCTTACTTTGTTTCCTCATGCTGTGAGTGACCCAGGAAGTACTCATATCCTTTAAATAAAGTTATTTATACCACCAGATAAACGTATCCAGGAGCAGGATTTGAAAGTTACAAGTACAGAAGTACTGTCAGCAAAATGTAATTAAAGTATTAAAAGTACTCATTTTGCAGAATGACCACTTTTTGAGTGTCATAATATTACATTTACAAAATATTGTATTATTGGCTTGTTATTATGATTCAGTAACTTGTTAACAGCGATTAAGCGCTGCAGCTGGAGACATTGTCGGTAAAGATTAGTCGTTTAATCAAAAACAAATCGTTAGTTTTTATAAACCGATGTGTTTTATATGAACAATCTTAACATGCAACCTAACTAGTAGCGAAGGCTGTCACAGAAATATAGTAAAGGAAAGGTATAAAGGAGCATAAAACATTTCTTTAAAAAACACTTTACAATTGTACAATGTACTTTTCACCACTGATTATATCAGCAACTCTATGGGAGGTTACAAGTGTTATTTAATGTTGTGCAATTCTGTGCTATCTTGCCTTACAAGGGTTATTACCTTTCCTTACATCACTCTCTGTTACACTATGCTTTGTCAAGCGCAGTTAAAAGTTGAGGTTGCATGAAACAGCATTGTGTTGTATCACATTATATTACAGTGTTTATCAGCGGTTGCTTTCCTGTTGGCACCCTGCTAATCCTAACCAATTTTAGTTTTTTTTCCAGCTGAACTCAGATGTCTGACCTAGTTCGTCATCCTAATAACAATGTGAATATGCCGCTGCAGGTTTAGTAAAGCCCTGTGGTTTGTTTTAGCTCTGCTATTTTGAGGCTTCCATTTGGTTGCTTTCCCAGCACCTTATTCAGTGCATTATCTCATCGGAAATGACTGTGCTCTGTTCAGCTCTCTATATTCATATTGCATCATGATTGCATATTCCCCATTTTCACATTATTTATTTTTACTAACATAAAACTCTGCCCCTATCAACGGCTCACCCGACCACACAGGCGGGTTTTTAACCCCTAGCTGTCTGAGGTGGGAGACGTTTAAAACCAATTTTATGGAGATAATTTCTCCATTAAAATTTAGCAGAGAGTATGCCCATCTCATCGTTTTGTGGAGTTCACCTACAGTTCACCTGTCAGTTGTTGCCAGCTGACACAGACATGGTATGCATTAATATTTTTCACAGCTATTAAACTGACGTACATACGCAGGCATACTCACTATATGGTGTCATGGAAACAAAACCAAAGCATATTTTCGAATCTTCTCCTGGGCGACATTTTGACAGAGTCTTTCAGAAACCAGCCCAAAGCACAATGAGGGGAAACAGGCAGGTTGGTGTTCTTTGACATCAGCCAAGGCGATTAGAATAATATTGCTCGGCTCCCGTTTCAGCCCAAACTGACAGGTAATTTCATGACTGGGTATAAACAACATTCAGCATACTGTATATCTCTGAACAGGTTTGTCCTCCCCATGCCCCTTTCACTGCAGATGATAGCCTAACAGCCAGAGTGAATTTGGGAGTAGATGAGGGACTGCTTCTGTTTGTAATGGTGGGATTATTTCTTGGCAGCGGGGACACACTGAACGCAGATGAGAAGGGTAAAGCGAGCAGGGGAGGAAGGAGAATGAAATTGAGTTGAAAACAATTGCGGGAGTTCATATCCTCAAAGTCACAGAAGAGGAAAGCTGCAAGGTTGACTCCCTTAGCAGCTCTGGGCGGGACACTTACGGGCCAGTTCACAAAAGGATTGCGCAGCTTTTGCGGCTGCTTAACCTGCATGTATAAGACTTAAAGAAAGTACTCTCAAAGCACCCGCAAAGTATGGCATGTTCCCCTAACAGCACCGCTAAGAAGTAGCGTCCCCGTCCTCCCGTGGTATTTGCATGTATTTAAATTAGATAATATACATACATTTGGCACAAAATTGGCCTCTCTCAATAAAATATCTCACTGACTGTGTTGGTGAAGTTAAAAGTTTATGTATCTGTCTCTTTGATTGTCTCCTATATGTTTTACTCACATATATTTAACAACAAGTCCTACATTGATGCAATATGTCTTGTAAAGATGGACATTGAAAGAGAAGTTAAGACAAAAAGAAAGGAAGACCTGAGTTGACTTTAGAAAGGTGTATGTGGAGACATAGATTGAAGGGGTAGAGTCGCTGAGGGAGTTACATGGCACCACTGAGCAGTATTTTCGTAGGTCATGAGACTAGAAGAAAGAGATGGCTTTGTCTTACTGTGATAGATCACCCTCGTCTCTGTTCACTCCATGAAACAGCAAGTTTCTTTCAACTGGAGAAGCATAACAGACGGGAAAAAGCTCAAAGAGCGACTTAAACCTCAGCAGGTGTAAAGATTAATGTTCACACGTCCACTTTTTTTTTTTTGTCCTTTCCTTCAATGATAGCGAAAGCAAAAATGACAATCAAATCTTTGAAATATTTTTTGTAACTAAGCATAAACTGTTTAAAGTACAGTATGTGTGCATTGTTCTGCGTGTTAATGCTTCGACAGCAAAAGTGATCCGAGCCCAGCTCTTGTGATTATTGCCGGTTTAAATGTATAATGCATGAGGGAGATGGAGAGCTGGAAGGAGGGAGACAGGGAGATAAACAAAGAAAAGAATTATCTGCAAACACGAGGAAATCCACGTTTGTCAAATGGAAGGTGACAAAATGTTTACGCCTGATGCGTGTGAAGAAACCACAGCTCGACCCCGTCTGATGGAGTGTTTCCCTCTATGTGGGTACTGTGTTATGTAAATTTAGTTTGTTCCTGAGTTGGTTTCTTCCTGTCTTCGTGTGTGTCTGCCATTGTTGCTGTATTTCAGAGCAGGTCTGTTTGTCACAGATGGATTTCACAACCGTCATCATCGCCATCATCATCAGCAAGATTCTTTGACCTCCATTTTTCTCTTGTTTGAAGGAGCTTTTTTCCTCTCAGTGGAAGGAAAGGAAACAATAGCACTTTTACCCTCTTCCTGTCAGTTGAGATAGCTTCAAAAATGTTAACAAAAACACTTCAAGTCTCATGTTGTTGTTTCTTTCTTTTCTTTTTTTTTTCTCGTTCACTTTTGGATTGGAGTAGGAGGTGGTAACTGAAGGGGGGCTGGAAATTGCTTTTCAGTCACCGAGCTTTTTGTGATGGCAATTCATTACTCGAGGCTGAAAAAAAGCCTCCGTTCTTCCCACTGTTCTTGACAAAATGTTTTGGCCTTTGATTCTGCTTTGTAGTTTCATAGATGCGTGTTTGTGTTGTTGTTGTTGTCAATTTTTTGAGAGACTGAGCTCATGTTTGCTGTGTGTTGTGTACCTCAGGGGGACTTATTGAACCGTGATATGATACTAGAACCGTCATATTGTCTACTGCTTCTTCTACCACTGCCACAAACACACCCCCAGGCATACTTTATGACATTTTTCTGATGAAAGCATGATTCATGACAAGCCTTCCAGTCTCCAGGTATGATGTACTGCCTACCACGTTGCCCAGTAGATGCTAATATCACTGGTACTTGCATTATGGCAACTGTGTATCTGTTCTGCACACACACATTCAATATTTACATTATTAGATTGATCCCTAAACATATACTTAAATATTTTGCCATGTCAGTCAAAATCTCTTTTTTCAAAGCAACACTGAACTTGAGTGTATTATATTGAATGTTGTGTTTAGTCCATCAACTTCCACAGGCAACAGGATGAGGTCATTGGTTAAAATGGTGGATAGCCTTCGCTGAGCCAAGGAGATACACATAGAGTATATTAGGTTGGCCACTCTCCCCCATATCATTCAGATTGCAGACACGATGATGAAGCACATCACATTTAAGCATATGACTACTATGTCAATAATTAATAATGATGAGAGGAAACTGATGTGATGCACTTTACTGGAAGTGGGATGATGCAGTTTCTGGCATGTTAAGTGTGTTAACCTTGCTGTATCCTTTTATTAATTTGACTTTCAGGACATTGATGAGCTCGTACTTATTTTGCACTTTCTCTTCTTTTATTACGAGTCATCACTCACATCCTTAATCTCTCTATCTTTCTGTTTCCCTCTTCTTTCTAGCCGAGTGCGGGGGCAACATCAAGGAAGAGCTCTCTGGTCGTATCCTATCTCCAGGCTACCCAGCTCCTTATGAGCACAACCTGCACTGCATGTGGACCATTGAGGCCGCCCCTGGAAGCACTATTAGGTCTGAACAGAACTCTTTTGTTTCCTCGTTCGTGCCTTCGAGTTTTGTGATTACATTGTTCTTTTCTAGGCTTTCTTTCAATCTACCACCTTTCAATATACCTCCAATTTAGCCCCTATTTTTTCCAGGGGTATTCATCACTTTCACAGACTGCTGTGTAATCAATCTTCAGTGAGCTGCTATTGGCCAATTGTTGAGGTACTACTGGGTGAGGGGAAATGCCATGTCAGAGCCTCAAGAAAGTCAAGTGTTTGGGCTCTGTATGTATGCGTGTTATACCCTTTACATTCCTGAAGTTAATTAAGTGTAAGCCAGCAAATCCTGCAAGGTGTATAGTTTTGGCTAGAGGTACTCCCTAGACAATTCGGGGTTACTTTCTAGCATCGTATTTATTTTCTCTTATGTATATTGTATTGAACAAACATACTTTCTTCCCGATATGCCCATTGATCTTAATGGTCTGCCAATGTCAAGCAGCTCATCAGGGTCAAGGTTGTAGTGACAGCAGGGCCAAGTACCAAGTCTTGCAGCTAATCCTACAGGATCCCTAAATGTTTGTCGAATGTGGGCTACATGAGGGTGTTGATTCCTGAGGGGCTGTGCTGTGAATGCTACACACCTGGGATCATTACCAGGTGGCTCATGCAGCTTATCATCCATACTGTGCTTTGTTTTTTTTAAACCAGCTATAGAAAATGATGACATTTTCTTTTTCTTACCAGTTGAAGTTTTAATTCAAGTAATGCAACACTGGGGATAATTAGCCACATGCCTCAGCTTTCACCACCTACAATGTTGCTTCCATCCGGCTCTATCTGCCTTTCTCTACCGACTCTGCGTGCACTCATGCGTGCCTATTTTCGCATTCATACATTAAATAAATGATAATGGTACATTCATTCATGTATGCTAATGTTTGTTTGTGGATGTGCTCACTCCCTTGGCTTTCAGAGGAGACAACAGAGACGTTACAGCACTATTATTTTGCCAGTGTTACTGATGCAAACGGCCAATTATTTAATTAGACGATATAATTGTGCTTAATTAAACAACTCGCTTCTGTTTTAGCTCACCTCTTCTCACCCGGATTTATTCCAGCAATCCATACCCTGGCCACTATGCTCACGTTTCAAAAAAAAACAAAAAAAAACTCCTTGCTTCTGTGTATAATCATCCCATTTTTTATGCATATAAATTCAAGGCTTTGCTGAACTTTTTAATTCAAAGAGCAGAATCACAAATGCACACCATACATTTTTTTAACAAGACCCTGTCCTTGTGAATATTGAAGCCTTAACCCTGATAGTGTTAGTGTTATTCTCTATCCATTAAGCTACTTAGGACCGCAGACACGTGTCAGTCATATATCAACATGGTTATGATGAGTTCCATATTGTGACAGCATTGAAGTGGAATGCCATTAAGCCGCAAACATGCCCGCCAAGTGTGTTGAATGTATTCAGAATATTAACTGTGTTTATGCACCGTCATGAGGCGGTGATGTAAACTAATGTTAATAAGCTTGTAAGCCTGCGTACTTAAAAGAAGAGTGCTGCGCAAGGTGAATACTATTAAAGCTATAAGTGCATGTGTGTATGAAGAAACATGTGGAAGAGGCACATGAAGGGGTTTTAACCGCTCTTCTCATACATAGGATTAACTTTTCCTAGATGATCACATACTCATCATAGTGGAGCATTTATGACATTAATTCTATTGCTTTTTATATATATTGTATAAACACAGTTTCAGGGGACAGGGGAAATTTGGTTATGTCTACAGACATCAGCAGGAGTTTGGTATCGGTCCTGGCAATGCTCTATCAGGCTTTTAACACATCCGGTATTTGCTTATTCCAGACACATATTAGATTTAGTTGGGTCACTGTTTCATTTCAAATCCAATGTGCTGGAATAAATCCAAAACAATGAAGAACACGTCCTAATACTTTCAGACAGCACTGTGTACTTTTTTTTTTATTACTGTGCCATGTCATTTTGCATAATATTGTACAGTTCTGTGCAGTTGTCTGCGTGGATCTATTCTGGTGTGCGTGCTATCCCATAGCTGGCACATCTGACACGCCTAGGTCCCTCATGATTGCTAGTTTAGGTTCATTAGTGCCTTCACTACCTCTGGGTGCCTGGCATTCCTCTGCAAGGTATGCTCCATATCCAAGCCTTTGATCCTACCCACGCAATTCATTATTGAGGAGAATTTGCAATGCATTAGCCCAGGGATTCCTTGTATATCAAATGGTGTAGCTGAAGGTAGCGCACTAATCAAACCACACCGAGTTTATGAGGGAGCAGGAGTTGTTGCAGAGTGACAGCGGACACCTAAAAAAAGCTGTGAAATGGTTTGCCGAGAGTTATTGATGGAAGGAGAATATAGGTGGGGGGGCAGAGAGTGGAATACAGACATAAAGAGATAATAACAATATAAGTGGAACAGAGATGATAAAGAAGGCAATGAGCCATTTCACGCATGGAACATGCAGTGGTTACAGCTACAGAGATCAAGGGAGGGATCTTGGCCACATGGTACACTGAGCAATGAAGCCATCTTAAAATTGGTATTTAGCATTTAGTAATAAGCATGCCCTCTCATTTGAGTGCTCCGCTGCCTTATAACATGCTGCACTGTGTGGGTTGAGATACTGTACGGTGCCTTTGTGTCTGTCGTTCACAAAACATCAATAGGACTAACACGGTATATGAAGTGCAGGGATTGTAATTAGGCCCATAGTGTCGGGTCTTTACTCTGTCCGTAGTACAGTATGGCTTTGGGGGAGGATGGAGAATTGACTTCTTAATCCTTCATCTATTTGTTTTACTCTCTTCTTTCACACTTTGGTTGCACAGTTAAATCAGCACATATATCAACTGCAGTTAAAAGCACTCTGCCAGGCCAGGCAAGTGGAAAAGAAGAACCCTGCTGTTAGTTTTTCTTCTCATTTTTTTTGCCTGGTTGTGAAAGAAAGTCAGAAATCTACTCGACCAAAGTCAATTTTTACTTGCTCTTACACAAATTGTCAATTAAGTAAGTTAATTGTCATGTAAAGTTTTTTGTACACTTGACCTTGACCCCGTTTTATCTGACTGGTATTGTTGTCACAATACTGGAATTTCTAACTCTGATACAGTACCTTGAACAATACCTTATCAATATTCGATGCCTTTTTCAATTCCACGGGAAAAAATCATATTGAGGGGCTAAAAGTCATTGTTTTAAAGGTAGGGTCTGGAGGATTTTCCAGTTGCTGTTTGTAAACACACATTCAAATTTGGCCCCTCCTATCAGGCTCAACTCTCCCGGGTGTACGGAGCCCGGAGGTACAGAAAAAGGCTTCACAGGCTTCACGGCACCTGCGCTCTCTCATTGGCTGGGGAAATCTCTGCCCAGTGCGGTCCGAGCTCAAAAAAAAATCAAAATACAGTTAAAGGGCAGGAGCTCTGCAAACAGAGTCACCACCACACATGAGTAGAAGCCCATAGGTGATGATTAAGCAGGATTTCATTTGTATATGTCTATATTTTGTTTTGTTTGAAAATCCTCCAGATCCTACCTTTAAGAATAGATAGATCTAACAAAGGGTGGCATGGTTGTGTGGTGGATAGCACTGTCACCTCACAGCAAGAGGGTTCCTGGTTCGATCCCAGGTGTGGGAGCCCTTCTGTGCCCTCCTTCTTCTGCCCCAGTGTCAGCGTCGGTTTTCTCCAGGTACTCCAGCTTCCTCCCACAGTCCAAAGACATGCAGGTTAATTGATAACTCTAAATCGTCCGTAGGTGTGAATGTGAGTGTGAATGGTTGTCTGTCTCTACATATCAGCCCTGTGATAGTCTGGCGTCCTGTCCAGGGTGTACCCTGCCTCTCGCCTAATGTCAGCTGGAATAGGCTCCAGCCCCCCCGTGACCCTCAAGAGGATAAGCAGTTAGAAAATGGATGGATGGATAGACTTAACAAGACTATGACATGACAATGACAACTTTGTTTTCTTGGTTAATAGCAGAGAACAACAGAACAACTCTTGTAAACATTAACAATAAGAGAGCAAGAAAGTGCAGCTGGAAATTAGTATTAAAACTGCTTTAAATATTTAGTGTCAATGTATTGATAAAGGGCGGCACGGTGGTGTGGTGGTTAGCACTCTCGCCTCACAGCAAGAGGGTTGCCGGTTCGATCCCGGGCGTGGGAGCCCTTCTGTGCGGAGTTTGCATGTTCTCCCCGTGTCAGCTTGGGTTCTCTCCGGGCACTCCGGCTTCCTCCCACAGTCCAAAAACATGCAGATTGGGGACTAGGTTAATTGTTAACTCTAAATTGTCCATAGGTGTGAATGTGAGCGTGAATGGTTGTTTGTCTCTATGTGTCAGCCCTGCGATAGTCTGCCTCTCGTCCGATGGGCTCCAGCGACCCTCATGAGGATGAAGCGGTTAGAAGATGAATGAATGAATGAATGTATTGATATCTTTGACAATGCTTGCCTTCAAAATTGTGGCAAACTGCACAATACATAGCTGAAGTTTTACCCACATTTTCTGATGCCACCAACCTAACCTACTGTTTCCAGGACAAATGAAATGCTTGCTTGCGCTTCAGCTCATAAAGTTTGTCCTTTCTTAGTGCCACTTTCTCATGGTCGGTACTGTGCATGTGTTAACTTTCAACAAAGATGAGAAGGAAGCAAAATGACTCAATCCTTTGCTACTTCCATCATTAGCACCAGAAAAAAACAATGCCTCATTCTTCTGTACCACTGGCCAGATCACGCAAGTGAGTTGCCAGATTTACTAGCAAATATTCAGTGTACTGATAATTTAGTGGCCTTCTGTTAAAGATCCCATATTACTGTGCATACGTCTGTTGATAAAGATGTTCATAGAGATTAGAATAGGGTGTGATTTCACACCGTTAAGGGGTAAGTCTACAGTAAAGCCAGCCCCCCTGTGCTAATCCAGTAGTTTTAGATAAACATTTATCAGTACAACCACTGACAACA